CGTGGGAGGGAAGGGAGGGCCAAATGGCAAGGGCTGGGGATGATGGGACTGCGTGCGCCGTGGTGGGAGGGAAGGGAGGGCAAATGGCAAGGGCTGCATGCGCCATCGTGGAAGGGAAGGGAGGGCAAATGGCAAGGGCTGGGGCTGATGGACTGCGTGCGCGTCGTGGAGGGAAGGGAGGGCAAATGGCAAGGGCTGGGGGGGACTGCATGCGCTCAAATGGGCTGGGGCTGATGGGACTGCGTGCGCCGTGGGGAAGGGAGGGCAAATGGCAAGGGCTGGGGCTGATGGGACTGCTTGCGCCTTGGGAGGGAAGGGAGGGCAAATGGCAAGGGCTGGGGGCTGATGGGACTGCGTGCGCCGTCGTGGGAGGGAAGGGAGGGCAAATGGCAAGGGCTGGGGCTGATGGGACTGCGTGCGCCGTCGTGGGAGGGAAGGGAGGGCAAATGGCAAGGGCTGGGGCTGATGGGACTGCGTGCGCCGTCGTGGGAGGGAAGGGAGGGCAAATGGCAAGGGCTGGGGCTGATGGGACTGCGTGCGCCGTGGTGGAGGGAAGGGAGGGCAAGGGCAAGGGCTGGGGATGATGGGAGTGCGTGCGCCGTGGTGGGAGGAACGGAGGGCAAATGGCAAGGGCTGGGGATGATGGGACTGCGTGCGCCGTCGTGGGAGGGAAGGGAGGGCAATGGCGAGGGCTGGGGATGATGGGACTGCGTGCGCCGTCGTGGGAGGGAAGGGAGGGCAATGGGAGGGCTGGGGATGATGGGACTGCGTGCGCCGTCGTGGGAGGGGGATGATGGGAGTGGGCGTGCAATGGGAAGGGCTGGGGCTGGGAGGGAACGGAGGGCTGCGTGGCAAGGGCGTGGGGATGGAGGGATGACTGCGTGCGCCGCAAATGGCAAGGGCTGAGGGAAGGGATGGGCAATGGCAAGGGTGGGGGATGTGTGCGCCGTCGTGGGAGGGAAGGGAGGGCAAATGGCAAGGGCTGGGGCTGATGGGACTGCGTGCGCCGTGTGGGAGGGAAGGAGGGCAAATGGCAAGGGCTGGGGATGATGGGACTGCGTGCGCCGTCGTGGGAGGGAAGGGAGGGCAAATGGCAAGGGCTGGGGCTGATGGGACTGCGTGCGCCGTCGTGGGAGGGAAGGGAGGGCAAATGGGAAGGGCTGGGGATGATGGGACTGCGTGCGCCGTCGTGGGAGGGAAGGGAGGGCAAATGGCAAGGGCTGGGGCTGATGGGACTGCGTGCGCCGTCGTGGGAGGGAAGGGAGGCGGGCAAATGGCAAGGGCTGGGGCTGATGGGACTGCGTGCGCCGTCGTGGGAGGGAAGGAGGGCAAATGGCAAGGGCTGGGGCTGATGGGACTGCGTGCGCCGTCGTGGGAGGGAAGGGGGGCAAATGGCAAGGGCTGGGGCTGATGGGACTGCGTGCGCCGTCGTGGGAGGGAAGGGGGGGCAAATGGCAAGGGCTGGGGCTGATGGGACTGCGTGCGCCATCGTGGGAGGGAAGGGCGGGCAAATGGCAAGGGCTGGGGCTGATGGGACTGCGTGCCATCGTGGGAGGGAAGGGGGGGCAAATGGCAAGGGCTGGGGCTGATGGGACTGCGTGCGCCATCGTGGGAGGGAAGGGCGGGCCTTGCTGTTTGCCTATGTGCCCCTCCCAGCCCCCCTGGCAATGGCAGAAGCTGCTCCGGCCTTCCTCCTCCTCTTCCATTTGAGTTGCGAGTCAAGCTGTCTTTGTGAAGCCCCCTTGAGGCGCCCCCCCCTCCCTCCTCCCCCCAACTTGCCTGACTCCCCCCCCCCAGTGGCACCTGCGGCTGTTACTTCATCTGCCACTCCTCCTCCTTGCGATTCTGGTGATTCTTGCATCCCAGCTGCCCCCCCCCCCAGCCCCTGGGATTGCCCATCACACCCTGCCCCTGCAGCCCCATGGCTCCTGCCTGCCACCCGATTGGCTGGGGGCTCTTTTTCCCCTACAGCCAAAGACCCAGGACAAAAGGGGTCTGGTGGGTGGCCGGACTGAAGGGCGACGGGCAGAGGGCCGAGGGCCCATTGGCCGTGGAGAATGGCTGGGGGGGGGAGCGGAGGAGGAAAGCTGGCTGTAGGGGCTGAGGTGAGTGGCAGGGGGCGAAGGAGGCGTGGCCAGGGGTCCATGCCTAAAGATGGGCGTCGGCACAGATGGAATCTGTGAGACTGACCCTGGAGGGAGACCCTTTCAGTCCCTGAGTGAGCAGCCAGGGCGAATCACACGGGAGGAGTCAACAGCGCTCAAGCCTCCTCCGGTGCCCCAGCTGAGTCTCAAACTGGAAGGGAATCCTTTTGAATCGCTTCCCTCCCAACTTCATACCCTGAGAAATAATGTCAGCTGCAGCCAGATCTCTTGGCGCCAAAAGTAAACCTGGTGACGCACTTTAATACCAGGTATTGCCATCTCTATAAATTAATAACTAGCTTTTTTACTAGGGTGAGACATTATGTCCTCCAACTGGAAAATAAATCTGTGTGACCCTTTTAAATTCTCGATGTGGCCATTGAAACCCTGAGTAGATTTCTTGCCTGGCTTAATTTAGGCACGATGTTGGTTCTTAGAACCAGAAAGCATCTCAATGGCCTTTTTTAATGCTGGGTGTGCCAGTGATTAATTATAGATTTTATAGTTTTCTGCCTGGCGTAAATTTAGCCACGACAATGGTTCTTAGAACCGGAAAGAAAACCTCAACAGCTCTTTTTAATATCTGGTGTGGCCAGTGATTGATAAAAGATTTCTATTTGGAATAATTTTATCCTCTGCTGTTGTTTAAAATGTGTAAGTTATGTTTTGACTGATAAATGTTAATCATGACACACAGTATGTGGCGGTCACCTCAAGAATTTTGATTTCTTTTGTCACACACCTTTGTCTTTTTGTTCCTGAAATATCTCTAAATGGGATTCCCGCTTGGTAACATTCTGTTTGACATGTATTTTTTGTAATACAACTGAGTTTTACTCCTGATTTACTGTTGCTAACTAGTTGTGATGCTTATGGTAGACAAGGTATTTTGTCTTTTGCCTGTTTTTATGTATCCTTTCTTATCACCATCTCTTCAGCAAGAGATACCTGTTGTGATATTCATGTATTTGAACACTGAAGTTGTGTTTTCTTTCCATGTCAACTGTGGTTACTTTTACACCTCACCTTTTTTTTTTATCAAAAATGTCACTTTAAATTAGCAAACCATTTAACCCACCATGGTATTGTATGGTTGCTTTTTGCAATTTTTATGATTATGTGACTTTTTATCATCCTTAAAATATTGGATGATGCTTTTATGTATTGTATCTTTAAAACTGTATTATGATTTGAATTGTACAAACTGCTGCAGCTGTTATGTTTGGAAGATGTGACGCTTATTGTGTTAAAAAAACATTAAGGTATTTGAAACCACTTCCAAGGGTTCCTTGATTATATTTGTGATCCTGAGTCAACAGCTTGGACCTGTTGGGCACTGTGCGCTCCTGCTGTTTGCCGAAGTCACTGAGGATCTTCTTTTCCGAGGATTTGAGGTTTGGTGGTGTATTCAGAAATGTCCTGTTCTATCAAAATAAGCCTCCCATGAAATTCTTTTTTCACTTTTCATTTTCATAAAATGTTTCAATCTCTCTCTCTCTCTCTCCTATCCGTCCATCCATCCATCCATGTATCTATCTCTGTCTATTTGTCTATCTCCTATCTTTCTATCCTTCTACCTCTCATCTATCCTTCTATCGTGTCTATCCGTCTATCTCCTTTTCTATCTCCTATCTACCATCCATACATCCTCCTATCCATCTATCCATCTCCTCTCCTATCTATCAACCTATCATCTACTATCCGTATCTATCTATCTCCTGTCTACTATCTCTTTTCTATCTCCTATCTACCATCTCTCTATCTCTCTATCTCTCTATCTATCTATCATCCTTCTATCCGTGTCTATCCGTCTATCTCCTATCTACTATCTCTCTCTTTTCTATCTCCTATCTACCATCTATCTACTATCTGTCTATCCACCTATCTATCCCTCTATCTCCTATCTGTCTATCCGTCTATGTCCTGTTCTATCAAAATAAACCTCCAATGAAATTCTTTTTGCACTTATATATCGCTTCACAGTGCTCTGCAGCCCTCTCTAAGAGGTTTACAGAGTCAGTCTATGGTCCCCAACAATCTGGGTCCTCATTTTACCAACCTTGGAAGGATGGAAGCCTGAGTCATCCTTGAGCCAGTGAGAAACGAAATGCCAAACTGCAGGCAGCCAGCAGTCAGCAGAAGTAGCTTGCAATGCTGCACTCTAACCACAGCTCATTGAGTAAGTCAATTGCCTCTTATTTGTGAGAGCCAATGAAGAACTGTAAGACAATTATGTCTTCCTAATCCTTCTCTTCAATAGGCTAAACATACCTAGCTCCCTCAATCGCTCATTATACAATTTAACCTCCAGATCCTTTATTGTTGTTGTTGCTCTTCTTTGCACACTTTCTAGGGTCTCAACATCATTTTTATATTGTGGTAGCCAGAACTAGATGCCGTATTCTGAGTTTGGTCTCAACAATGTTGTATATAGTGATCTTGATGCTATCCCTGTTGATGTAGCCCAGGATTGCATTGGCTTTTTTTGGCAGCTGAAGCTCATACCTAAATGGTGGCCCATTAGGACACCTAGATCTCTCTCACAGCAACACAGACCAGTGTCTGCACTACATTGTGAGTAAATGTTTTTTTGGGGGAGGAGATGGCAACAGACCAGGGCAAGATGAGAGATGACAATTTCAGGGATCTTAAGAAAGTAAGGCCCAGACCTGACAGCTTGCTCCAAAGCTGTCAAGTTGCTTTTTTTCCTCTGTAGGTATTGTGTCTAAAGGGTTCCCAAAATCTCTATCCCGATGATGAGATGTGGGTGCAGCAAGAAAAGGAAATGCCCAGATGCCAAACCTCCCAACCGCACAGTCCCTCCTCTAACAGAGCTCCCTCTGCTCAAAACACACATCCAGAAAAGAGAGCTGGGTCCTCACCCTTCTCTTTGTTTTATTGCACACAGACCTCCCTTTTCCCTGAGTAGCCAGAGAGAGGATTTTGAAGGGGAGGGAAGTTGAGTCCCGCAGAGGAGCTGAACAGCATTTCCCAAAAGCATTTCTAGAGCTGGAACCTAGAGAAGGCCAAAAGGGCCTCTAGGCCACAATCTTGGGGCTGAGTTTACCATGATGCAGACCTAACATGGCGCCCAGCTAATCACTTGGCTTGAGCAAACAGCTCTCTGCCAATTCTCCCCCTTCATCCAAGGACAACCCCAGAGAGGCCAGGAGAGCTGCTCATAACAAGTGTTTGTTGCGCTTCGGGATGATTCTGCGAACGGTCCTGCGTTCAGAGATGTTCCGCTTCACTCTGGCCCCGCCAACAGGAGGCCCATCCATGTTCAGGGATGGGCTGGAGTGGGACTTCTGCAAACTGGGGCAGTTCTCAACCACTGCTGTCAGCCGGGCTTCCCACTGGTCCAGATTATCTGTGCTGCAGCCAAGTTTCACCTCCAGGAGCTTCACGTATGTCTCATAGCGGCGTTTCTACACAGGGCAAGAGGGGGTGAGAGCCAAGCAGCAGAATCTGGTTCCATGATGGGAGGAGAGGAAGTCGTGGACGATCCTTCGCTAGAAATGCTGAACTAGAACATTTCCGGCAAAGCTCTCCTTGCCTTGGACCCATTCTCGGATACTATTTTGGGCACAGATTTTCCCTTTCCCCTTCTGCTTTCATATCCCACAAATAGGGATGCAGTGAACATCTCTGTGATCTACAATTTGGTATCTAACAAGAGGTTGTACGGAGGAAGAGTGATAGTCTGAAAGATAACAGCTACGTAAACAGAAAAATGGCCAGGAACAAGTAGTACTGCAGAGATATGGATCTGCCAACTCCTTCCCCCAAAAAATGATGTGAGCAATTCTCAACAGCGGGGGTGTTGGGGGTGTCCTATTCAAACTCAATGAACCGTTACCTCCCACTGTAGGAAAGAAGTGCAAGGTGTCAGCAGAGGATGGCCTTCCCCAACAGAACAGCACAGCCCAGTCACCCCCACTTCTCCTGGAAGAACAAACTTTGCTCACCTCAAAGAGCAAGTACTCCTTTCTGAGCTGGTACTCCTCCAGGTCCCTCCCACGGCCACGCTTCTCTGGCAGATTCCGCTGGAGCTCCAGCAGTTCGTGGGCTGTCCTGTCCATACAGGCTTCGTGGATCAGGTGCTGGTCTTCCTGCAGTGACAGAAAAAGATTGCAGCCTTGCCTCAAGCCAGGTGCCCCAGTTCTCTCCCCCACCTAGATCATCAGAGACATGGCTGCGCTGAGCTGTGCAACTGGAATTCCCGAGGACAGAGACACACTTCCCCAAGGATCTGAGTTCGGGTCTGGCACCCCTTAGTGACTTCATCTAAACCACTCTGTGGAAGGACCTGAGATTCGACCATTCCCTCCCCCAGCACTCAACTTACTATGCAATTCTTGGAGGGAGTAGTTGGCAAAATAGGTCTTATAAATTTCTTTTGGGAGCCCACTGCTGCAGGGAAGGGTTGGGCAGAGAACATGGCTGCCACAAGGTTGATGCGAGAAATCCATGAAATCATTTCTTCAGAAGTTCTAGAAAAGGTAGAATTGAATTTTTGAATTAGCCCAATTTTGGGGATTAACATAATAACCCAGCCACAAATAGGTAAACCATCTCTCCAAGATGTTTAAAACTAGCCCAAATCAATATTTTGTATGAATGCATCTGCTGGATCTTTATTCTGATTAAATATGTTACGTGAACACATCTCAATAATCAGGATCAATATACACTCCTGATTAGTTTGCCCAGGCTGCGCCCTGGCATCTCTCCTATTCCACAATGCCTTTACATTTTTCTGTTATTTTGTTTCAAAATACCTTACACTTTTATAATTACTATTTTAGAACATTTTTGGTTTTATTACAATTTACATAACAGAAAAACTCTCTTCTCTGTAACATTTAACTGGCCAAAATGGTGCATCATAGGACAAAGGTAGCTAACTTACAGAATGATGGGATCTATGACTCCTGAGGAATTAAATTTGGGAGTTTGCTGCTGCTGCGCTCCCATAATCCTTGTTTTCAATGTTCCATGACCATTTCCCAGCCATTCAGCAATCTGACCCTCCCTTCTCCAACTAACAGCAGCCACTTGTCTTCAGGAAGGGAAGGGGGAAGAAAGAGGAGGGAGGGAGGGAGGGAGGGAGGGAAGGAAGGAAGGAAGGAAGGAAGGAAAGGAAGGAAGGAAGGAAGGAAGGAAGGAAGGAAGGAAGGAAGGAAGGAAGGAAGGAAGGGTTTCAATGCTCACTGCCAGCTTCCAATAAGGAAATTCAGTGGGGAAGCTGACAGGAAGCCAGGTTGCTTCCAATCCCACTGTTTTTTTTGTCCATCTGTGATCATTTGGATTCTGTTCAGGTGAAGAAATCTCTCTGAAACGATGATATATGTTTCTGATTTACAATGTTCCTGACATTTGCCCACAAGTCAGTGGGGAAGCTTCCAGGGTGAAAATCAATGGAGAATCTTGTGGGGAAGGTCACAAGTTACTCAGGTAAAATAATCCTAACCTGCACGTTCTCCATCTGTCCCTCTGCACTCGCACTGCGCCAGTCAGCCTTGACTCAATTGGACATGGACTGACTAGTCGCTTTTCTAATTTTTCCCTCCCTCCCTCCCCACTGTGTGTGTGTCTGTGTGTGTACAGATAGATGATAAATATAAATAGATGGTTAGACAGACAGACAGACAGCTATACACTCCTCTTAGAGAAAGACTGCAATAGGTAAGATGGGTGGCCTGTAAATTTTATAAATAAATAAATAATACTTTAAAATTTGGTGGTAGCGAAGAATCCAAGAGACATGCCCAGAGCCATACTAAGGAATCCCCTAAGAAGACAAGAAATCTAGAAAAGGTCTCTCATTTCTTATTTATAAATTATTTCCACTACTTTTCTGCACTGGACATTTGGAATGATGGCAAGGGAGAGCTTCCTTAAGGTTTGTGGGAACTCACGGGGCTTGGAAAAGGAACACGTGCCCGTCTGCAGTCTGGAGCCGGAAGACATGTGGCCGCTTGGTGTATTTGCAGGCTTTTTCTGCCAGGGCATGAGGTATTCCAATGAGTTCTTCTGAGCCTGACACCTCCAAATGCTGCTCATCCTGCATGGCAGCCCAAAACAAAACCCAGCAGCCAGTCAGTCCTGGGGGGGCAGTTATATTAATGCTGCAAGAGGAGTTGTTGGGGGGGAGGGGATGACATGCAGTTGTGAATAAGCACCAACCCCCCTTGACACCACCCACTTCCACGCTTGCCATTTCCCTCCAATTTACATCTACTGAGGCTAGTCCTGCCCTCTGTCTTCTCTATAACAGTCCTTTAGATCAATGTTTCTCAACCTTAGCAACTTTAAGATGTCTGGACTTCAACTCCCAGAAGTCCAGACATCTTAAAGTAGCCAAGCTTGAGAAATACTGTTTTAGATGATTTGGTCCTTCCATCATGCCTCCCCTTAATTATCTGTTCTAAACATATCCACTGTTTTCAACCAGTAATCTTAGAGCTTGGTTTTCTGCTTCTTCATCTTTGTGGAAAGACTCATCTGTCATTGTTCTTCTTGAAAGGTAGGGACCAAATGTGGTCTAATGCAGAATATAAATGGAAAAGGGAAAATCTACTTCAAGTTCAGCTTGACTCCTGGCAACTTCAAATCCATATCGTTTTCCTGGCAACAAACGGAAATAGTCTGTCTTTGCCTTTTTCCAGAATGTCTTTTTTTCAATTGCCCCATCTAGCCTACCACCCTCTATTTTCTGATATTTTCCATCTCTCATGCATGCACTAATCCTCCTTAGCTTTCTGAGATCAGAAAGCTGTGCAACACAAAATAAAGGAGAAAACTACTTCTTATGACTTAGATGCTACTTCTGTTAAAGGATGCAAATCAAAATTCGGCTAGCTTATATTCAATTTATATTCCACTAAAATATCTACATCTATTTACAGGACTTACTGAACATTCAGCCTTCCATCCTTCCGGGGTAGGTAAATGAGGACCCAGATTGTTGGGGGCAATGTAAATATATATACATTGCTTACTGGTGTACACCGCTTAGAGAGTGCTTGCACTTAAAGCGGTATATAAGTCTCATAAATAAATAAATAAATTCACCAGGCTTAGTTCAGGCCAGAACCAACTTTAACCCCTCCAGAAGAGCCTCAAGGACCCTGAGGTCATCCCCAGTCATTTGGTACCCATCTCGCTTTATGAGAACTCTCAAACAAGTAGTCCTCGACTTACGACCACAATTGAGCCCAGCATTCTGTTGCTAAGTGAAACATTTGTTAAGTGAGTTTTGCCCCCATTTTACAACATTTCTTGCCACAGTTGTTAAGTAAATCATTGCAGGTGTTAAGTTAGTAACACAGTTGTAAAAGTGAATCTGGCTTCCCCATTGACTTTGCTTGTCAGAAAGTCACAAAAGGGGATCATGTGACTTTGGGTCATAAGTATGAACCAGCTGCCAAGCATTTGAATTTTGATCCCATGATCATAGGGATGCTGTAAAGGTCATAACTGTGGAAATAGTCATAAGTCACATTTTTCATTGCCATTGTAACGTTGAACGTTTACTAAATGAACGAGGACTACCTGTATACAGAAGCTTTAAGTAATATCCACTATCTATACCCATCTACGTATCTTTAACTACTTGGAACCACAAGTCCCTCTTTTTATTCTTTGTTGACTTGGAAAAGACAATCTTCCCCTTGCTTCAATTTTAACCAGCATGTCACCTTGTCTCTAAGCAGAGCACCTGCTCCTCCTGCTGTTTCCCTCCAGCTCTCCGTTTACTCTTGTACAGCCACAGAAACGCTATTTGTAGCATCTTTCTCCAGCCTTCGCTTCCCCTGGATTTTGAAGCCTCTCTGAGGCTTTCCTTGCAGGCCAGAGAAGCTCTTCTGCTTCTCTGGCCTGTCTACAGTTCTTTTTAGACATTCCCTGAGCCCCTTCACACAGAGCGCAGGCTTGGGAGGCCTCTTCTGAGGCGGCTTGTGGCAGCCACGCCTTGAGGGGATTCCTCCACAGGCTGCTTGTGAACCACTCCCCAGCACATACATTGGTGGCCTGATGCAGGACAGTCCTGGAGCAGAAGGCTCGTCTGCCTGCCTGCCTGCCTGGTCTCTGTTACCTTGAGGAAGTACAGCACTGTCCCCTTCAGCACAGCATGGAAGGTCTTCCAGCCTCGCTTACCCCAGGGAGCTGCAGGGAGGGAGGGAAGGGCGGTCAGTTGCTTTCCTCTCACCAGCTTGCCCTCCCCCTTCCTTCAGCTTGCAGCCAAGAGGGCTTGGCTGTTTGGATCTTGGCCTTAGAGTGACCTCCCCCTGGTGCTAAGGCCACTCGGCACTCACTTTTCTTGCCATCAGCCTCTGCGTGCACCTTTCGAGCAAGGAGACCCTGCTGGTACATTTTTGCCCCGGGGTCCTGCCACACAGTCAGAAAAGGATTGGTTTTCCTTTGGGTGTTTGCAGGTCTCAGGGGTATCTTTGCATCAATTGTCTCTTCCTCATCCCTGTCGGGGGCAGAAAACAGAAAGTTGGCACATTTTTGCATATTAAAAAAAATATGTGAAAGGAAAAAAAGACTCCCTCAAGGAGCCTTTTCTGTCTGGGAACCAGACAGTGTGATTTTGGATGACTTAATTATACTAAGGGTCAAAAAAAGAGGTTGGGAGAAAAATCTGTGTTTATGATGGAATGGAAGGAAATGCCTTTCAAATTTAGAGCCAGTTTGGCCTAGCAGTTAAGGTACCAGGCTAGAAAGCAGGCGACCGTGAGTTTGAGTCCCGCCTTAGACATGAAAGCCAGTTGGGTATCTTTGGGCCAGTCCCTCTCACAAGGTTGTTGTGGGGAAAATAGGAGAAGGAAGAAGATGTGTTGAATATGTTCACCACCTTGAGTTATTTGTAAAAATAGCAAAGGTGGGATAAAAGTTAAATAAATAATAAAAATAAATTTAAGGAAGTATGAAAGACACCATTCGCAATTTGAAAAATCAGTGTTTTTCTATCATGCCACTTGGGCATTCCTCTGCCATCTCACAGCTTTCAATCTTCTGGACCATCCTGAAATCTTAAGCATCCTCTTCCCTGAGCAGGCAATGAACCTGGGAAATATTACTGGGCCTCCTCCTTTCCTGTGGCAACACAGCACAATCTGGACACCAATTTGAGGCACAATTTAGGTTTCCGGTAGGAGCAAACAAGCTCCTCTGCACCAAGTTTAGTTTTTGGAAACATTCCCTTCTCCTTATCCTCCTTGACATCCACCCCTCCAGGCTTAATACTTAAAACTTCTGAATTACAGACTGATGTTGCAGAGTCACAGTTACCCACCCACACAGCTTATATAGAGCAACCCCCCCATCTCCTTTATAAGGGAGAAGGGAGGGGCTCCAGGACTTTCACGCCTTCCCTCTTGGACCTCAGCCCTCCCTTCTCCTTCCTCAAAGCCCCACCCCCATGCTATCTTGCTTTTACTTACGTAGCCCATTCCAGTTTCTCATGACGGATGGAGTTATACAATGCCTGGACAAATACAAAAAAGCTGAGATGTAAGGTTACTTCCCATGCATCTAACCCCCACCCTTCAAGATAAGCTCCCTCCCCAAATTGCCAATTTTGGGGTTCTGTTCTCAAAAGTACCGCGGATCTTTCCTCAGCTATTATCAGCTGTGAAGAAAAGCTGGGAGCCCAGAAGAATCCGGGCACTGCATCTGGTCTATGGCCGGACCCAGCCCTCCTACTGACTTTGCCGATGTCTTCAGGGGCATGAATTTAGGGAGAGCCTCTCCCCTTCCCTACGGCCAGACCCTTGATCTCACTAGTTCTTCATGCAGGACTGGTTGGGGGGTCAGCACTCTCTGCATTGCCCTTCATGTGCCCCTTTTGTCCTCTGTTGGACAGTTGCGGAAGGCAAGTGCGGCTGTGTCCAAAACCACAGCTGTCCTCACAGGCCACCTGCTGAAGGCGCATGAAGTTAATTTTCCTGTACATAACAGCTGATGGAAGAGTCTGCTGCCATTTTTAAGAAATGACCCTTCTGGTATCTTGTATTTTTTTTTACAAGCTGCCTTGTCAACTAAGTTGGGATATAGATTCTAACAAGGACTGAAACTGAGTGCCTGATTTTGGGGTGGGAGGGGGGGAAATGAGGGATAACTATACCTTTTCCATGGCAACCCCTGCCCTAAGGAACACCTTTCCCCCTTAAGGTCAGCAGGCCTTGACCCTCCTAGGCTCCCGTAAAGCACTGAAGACCCAGCTTCCCCCCAAGGGCTGGGATAAGATGAGGGGATTTCCTATTGGAAACTTTGCTTGGCTGCCAAGGTTTTTGTTTGTTCGTTTGTTTTTTAAGTTGATGATTTTAATAGTTTTATATATTTATGCAGTTTTAATTCTTGATTGGGAGCTGCCCAGTGTTTGGTATAAGATGAGCAGCTATATAAATGTTTTATAAACAAACAGACAAAGAAATGGTAGATTGTTAAAATTGATGCACTGGCAGATTAAAGATGTTGAGACTCTAGAAAGAGTACAGGGAAGAGCAACAAAGCTGATCAGGGGCTGGAGGCTAAAACAAAAAATGAATGGTTGCAGGAATTGGGTATGATTAGTATAATGAAAAGTAGGACTATGGCTCCCAGGACAGTGGCGTTCCAATATTTGAGGGACTGTCACAGAGAGGAGGGGGGGTCAACCTGTTCTCCAAAACACCTGAATGCAGGACAAGAATCAATGGATGGAAACTAATCAAGGAGGGAACCAACCTAGAACTAAGGAGAAGTTTCCTGACAATGAGAACAGCGGAATGGTTTGCCTCTGCAAGTTGGGGATGCTCCAATACTGGAGGTTTTCAAGAAGAGATGGACAGTCATTTGTCTGTAATGGTATAGGGTCTCCTGCTTGAGCAGGGGGTTGAACTAGAACACCTCCAAGGTCCCTTCCAACTCTGTTATTTTGTTATTCTGATTCACAGCACTAGAACAGTCAATAAATTGGATCAGAGAACTAAACTACTATCTAGCCAGCCTTCTGCTTCCCCAGGTGCTTCCATGATAAGCCCAGAAAAAGGACGAGGCCACAACCTCTTCTGCTGTAGCCCTTGGCACGGCACTGCTGCCTCATAGGGAGCTGTCCAAACACGCTCCTGTTCTGCTTGGCCGTGGTGTAGGCTTCCTCAGGCTGGTATGACATGTCCCAGCTGATGGCCATATTGTACCACTCCTTTCCTCAGGAAGAACATGGAATGGCTACATCCAAGCTGGACATACAAACCTGAGTGTTGGCATTTGATTCTCTCCTTCCTCGGTGTCTGTAAATACAATCTGTAATATGAACTCTGTAACCTCCAGGCAACAATAAACTGAATTTGCCCCTGCCTTGTTCCACTACGGATATGGAACATTCCCTACAAAAATAATTAGGACTATATGTGTATCTTCTGATACATTCAACCAGTTAGAGCCAGTTTGATCTAGTGGTTAAGACACCAGACTAGAAAGCAGGAGACCATGAATTGTAGTCCTGCTTAGCCATGAAAGTCAGCTGGGTAACTTTGGGCCAGTCACTCTCTCTTGCCCCAACCCACCTTATAGAGTTGTTGTTACGGAGAATGTAAAAGGAGGGAAGTGTGCTGGATATATTCACCACCTTGAATTATTTGTAAAATAATAAAGACAGCATACAAATAAATAAATAGTAAAAAAAAACATGAACACCTTTTCCTACCAAGAACACCACCATTGACATTCCCAGTGATGCAACTGTGGAAACTGGCTGATTGTTCCCAGAGAATGGGAACTGAGTCCTAGTCCTTTCCTCTGCAGAGAGCATTTGATGAATAGCAATAGCAATAGCACTGAGACTTATATGCTGCTTCATAGTGCTTTAGAGCACTCTCTGGGCAGTTATAATCTCGGCATGTTGTCCCCAACAATCTGGGTCCTCATTTTACCGACCTTAGAAAGATGGAAGGCTGAGTCAACCTCAAGCCCCGTCTGGATCGAACTCCAGGCTGTGAGCAGTTTGCCTGCAATCCTGCATTCTAACCACTGAGCCCCCAGGGTCAGTACTGCATCAGGGGCACTACAGCTACATGGGGCGGGTTGCTGAATTAGAGCGCTAAAGCTTTCTCTCCATTGGCCATACTGGCTAGAAGTGAGGTTCAACACGGCTACAGGCATCCCTTTCATTGCCTGCATAGACGGAAGCTACACATACCTTTAGCAGTTCTTTGGGGAAGTCCTTGCCATCATTTAAGGCTGTGAGATTCACAACGAAGTCCTGACAGCTCATGCTTCGGCCAATATTCTGATTCCAAAAGCATGTTGATGAGAGAGAAAAAGAGAATTGAAGATGCTGCACTGTCCATATTGCACATCTAAACAAGAACTATCACATCAACCCTATTCTATGGGTACCATATAACCTTTCCCACAAATAGTTTTTCTTTGTTCAGACACTGTAAAAGTCCGAAGTGAGTGAAAGTGAGCCAAGATTTCTTCCTCTGAGAGAGTCTCCTTACCTGCCCATGCAAATCAGTATTGAGGAGCATCATGGCACAGGTGAGTGTATGCACAGCATCTGCAGAAAAAAAGGCTGTTGAAGAGAGATGTGAGAGATTCCATAGGCTTCTCCCACAACTAAACTGAAATGTCAGCAAAACGGAATTTGACCCTTCATTAAAACAAAAGGCCAGAGAAAACGGACTGAATCTTAAGATTTGCCATCAACGTTCAGTTATTTTTTTCTCTACTAGATGAACTGTAAGTACTGGTTTCCTTCTTTTCTCAGACAGACATTTTGTACTATTCTTAAGTATCACATCTTGAGATGTAAATAGAATAGAATATAGAATAGAGTTGAATATTCTTTATTGGCCAAGTGTGATTTGTCTTGTATCCAGTGCATAAGCTCTCAGTATATATACAAGCAACAAAGTAATAAATCATCAGTGATAAGATTCAATCATAAGTCATAAGATACAACCAACAAGTGGTAATCATAAGATACCAATAAGAGTAGATAATGGAAAAGATGAGAAGAATAATAGTAATACAGTTCTACTATATGATTGGATATCCTTAGGCATAAGACAGTGCTGTGGGAATTATGTGTTTAGCACAGTGATGGCATAGAGGAAAAATTGTATTTTCATTCCTGCAATCTGCTTTTGGAAGACTTTATAACTTCTCCGTGATGGTTTGGGGATGGTGGATACCAAGAATGCCACTGCTTTTATTGTTCTTCCACTTATTTTTAATCCAGGTGGTCTCTACCAACTTTCTTCACTTTTATTTCTGAGTGGGACTGTAGTTTTTTAACATACAATGTAAATTTCTATTTTCTGTTAAGATTAAACATGTTCTGTTTTTTAGCTATTATTCAATCATAGCACGTATCTCACCTGTTACCATTATGCCTATCAAAATCCTATTTTTACCACTAAAAATCACTAAAGCTCCGAGGACAGGAAGTAAACAATTTGATCACGAGCTTTGATTCAGAACGTAATAAAATGTAAAGTCTTTGTAGCAAATATGATTCAATAGGTATAATGGAAACTTGTGGGATAGATCCTATTATTGGAATGTAGCTATAAAAGGAGAGAATGTGTCTGTTTGAAAAAAACAGAAAGTGTTTGAAAAGTGAGTTGGTATGTTTTTCAAAGAGCAAGAGCTGTCAGAGAAACCTTAGCTGTGTTTATGACAAAGGGACTAGTTTGGTAGACCTAAGGATTGCCATGGATGTAGTGTGTGTTGACTTCAGTGAAGCATCTGACCAGGTCTCTTGTATCCTTGTGGATAAAATGAACAACTGTGACCTAGATGACTCTGCAGTCCAGGGAATGAGCCATCAGTTAAACAACCAGCAGCACAAGGTTGTTCAGAAATGGTTCTGCTTTGCCCTGAAGCGGAGCGGCCCAGGGCTCTGTTGCCAGGCTTGTGCTGTTCAACAGCTGCAGAAATGACGTAGGGGATGAAAGGGATTTCACAAATTTAGAGATGACACTAACTTAGAGGAGAGAATCACAATTCAAAATAACCTAGAAAAGTTTGAGTAGTGAGCCAAATCCATCAGTGCATAGGATGTTTAATTGTGAAAAGTGTAAATCTTGAATCTGGACAGGAAAAAGCAAATGCTATAGAGGGATATGTTCAGGGTGACTGGCTTAATGGCCATGCATTTGAGTAGGATCATAGGCAAATGTGTGCTTTGCACCAACATAGCGAATAACTGTTCTATTATACTATTTTATACTGGTGCATCTAGGCACTGTACTTTAAAAAGGAAGCAGAGATGCTAATGAAAAAGCTGCTGAATATATAAGTAAATTGGAAATGGTCACAATGTCCTTTCTCCCTCTTCCTTCTCCTTACCTATTCCAACTTCCATGCCATCAAAAAAGGTATCAAGACACGAATGGATTCTCTTTTTGCCCAGAAAATGATAGTGGAAAAAACAAAATTGAGGATGTTTTTAAATCCAAAAATAATCAATTAAATATTTATTAATGGACATAAAAACATTTTTTCAAAGAAAAAAATATAGAGTAATGCAAAATATGAAGGGGTTGCACGTTCCTTTAAATTGCTATGCAGAAAAATCATCCCTATCCGCTGGATTCCTCTGCCCAATGGACCATCCAGTCTCCCTCAAGAACATTATATATGGGACTAATAATATTCCTGGTTTTAAGGGAAGGAAATAAAACTGGGTGTAAATGGACCACAAAAAAAAAAATGCTTTGAATAAACTCAAAGCAATGAAAAATAGGATTTCCAGGTAGGAGGAAGAAATGGGAAAAAGCGTTCAAGAGGAATTTCAGTTGCCAAAGAGGTAAAACTGTAAGTAAAACAGTGAACAAGCCCCAAGAGAAGACACTAATCTCACTACCCCAAATTCCAGGAGATGGAAATCATTCGCTGGTTGCCTGAAACCATACAACTACAGAGGGTGAAAGAAGCCCAGAAGACCAGTTCTCTTTATATACAGTATGCTCAAAGGGAAATAAAGAGAACTGGTCTACCGGCTGCCCAAGGAAAATGACAATAATATGCTAACAGGTACGCTATTCAATTCCTGTTTTGAGCTTGGGTTCTCCGATTCAGCTGGAAAGCAATGATCTCACCTCCATCCCGACTTTGCGGTCAGAATAAAAGCAGGGTAAGCACAAGAGCGCTTGCTGCCTGAACCAAAGCTTATGCACTGCGAGGTCTGGACTGAGAGTCTCACCTGGACTAAGAGAGGCCTCAGGATTGCAACAGTGGTAGCGCCGAGAGAAATGCATCAGGATCCGCTCCCGCTCCTGAGTCTCCCCAGTGAGCACAAAGGACTTCAGGAAAGACCTGCCAAGAGAAAGGTCTGTGAAGCACAGAAGAGCAGGGAGGGCAGCTGCAATGCTTCTTTTTCCCAGGACGGGCAAACAGCAGCAGCAGCAGGCCTGCGGAAGAAGCATCCTCAGGGCTTCCACCGTTGCCCATTTGGCATGGGGACAATCCAAGGAGGCTGAGGCAGCTGAAATCCTGAGGCTGGGAGGCACCTCTACCTTCACAATGGAGCTTCTCAGCCAGCTCCCTTTAGTATGCCAAGGACTGAGGTGACTTTGGACACAGCCGCCTCTGCTTACAGGTTTCAAGGATTTTCCTTGCATCCAGGTCCCTTCTCACAGCTCAAGGAAGGTCTTCCAATCAAGCAGGCTAGACTAGTAGCAGAGCTGCAGGAAGAGGCCACTTGATCTTTTCTTCCCATATCATCTCATTTTCCTCTTCCCACCTTTCATTCTGTTACTCCCCACATAGTCCAGCCATTCCCCAAGTTAGCTCTTGGCCTCCTGGATTTGGGAGAGGGAAGGGCACCCTCCCTCCCAATCAGGAAGGGCAGGAAATTTGGCCATGAACTATGAAGTTTCACTTCCCTTCTTGAAAATGGAAAGGCAGCCCAAGGCGAGGAGTACACTACCTTAGGGCTTGATCCAGAGTTTGCGCAGAGAAGTGGAAGAAGGAAAGGTAGGCCTCAGCGACCATCTGGCTGAAGGTATTGCTGTGGACAAATGTAGAGGAACAGCTCAGAAAACCCCAAGCACCCCAAGCTCTCTAAGAGAACCTCTCATTCTCCTCCTAGGTGCTCCTCACACTTGCCTGGCTCCTAAAGCCCTCCTCCTGCGCTCCAGGTCCCATGACCGTGGAAGAGCCATCACGGACCATGCAAAAGTTCAAGCAAAAAGAGAAAAAGGTGCTACTGCCACCCATTCAGCCCCTTTGGCCCTTGCTTTTACTGTTTCTTCCTCATATTTCCCTCAGCTGGACTCCTGCTGACCAAAGCGTCTGTCCTTTGTATTTGCTTCAGGACCACAAGATTCTGCTGCTGGGGCTGCCTCAGAGGAGGGCAGTGTTTGCTTTGCCACCTGCTCAAAATGCCCTCCATACTTGGCTTTCAGTCAGCAGAGGGCCGTTTCCTAGAATACTGGCCTGGAAATGCATTAGCTTCTTCTTTGGGTGATGAAAGAACTTGAAACTCAGCATGATATGTGTGTGTGCGTGCACGCGCACGCGCCCATACTGTGCAAGTAATAAAAGTGACAAACATTCAAATCCCCAAACGGAAGGAGGTATGTAACTGAAGACTTTCAAGGCCATCTTACTTCTTGTGGAGAAAAGCAGCCACCTGAGACTTTTTGAACCCGTCCAGATGGTAGAGGCGAGCTGCCAGCCTTTGTGCTGCGGCCAGGTCTCCAGAGGTACTGTTTGCAAGGAGCAGGGTGCCATTCGGTTCTGCTGTGACCTTGGCAGGCAGACTCTCCCCCGTTCTGCTGAACTCCCCTCCAAGTTCTTCACGGCAGCTGCAGAGGGTGGAGAGACAGACAAAAAGACTGGGATCCTTGTCACAGCTCAAGAGAATAAATGCCGACACATAAATGTAGCCACCCTGAGGCAACAAGGCAAGCAAAGTCTCTTGTGGCTGCAGGACAAAAGCCACAATCACTTCAAAGCAGCCTCCAAATACCTGCTGAGTTGCCTCTTGGCCCAAGCCCACCTTCCCACCTCAGCAGAAGGATGCTGTGTGTGGTGAGCAGACCAGAAAGACCAATCGTCCCAAGAGACGTAAAACAAAGCATCCTTACTATAACATTGTCTCTTCCTCTCTGTCTTTTGACCTCCCATCGCTTGGCATAGCTGGCAGCTCCACCATCTTGAGTCTTTCTACTGAGCTCACCAGCTTCCGCTCTATACCACAAAGTGGGACGGAGTGCACATCTGCTCTGGTGACGTCTTTCTGTAGAGAGGAAGTTCTTTCAGGCTCCTCTAACCATGTGCAGGAAGATGAAGGGTGGCCATGGAATGATACTTGTGGCTCAAACCTCTCTTGCTGCAGATTCTGTTCTGCAGCAGGACCTGAGAGGACCTGGAAGCTGGAGGGAACGCAGCAACTCTTCCCTGGAGATGTAGGCTTAGGAGGGGGACAGCTCTCCGTGGACTCTTGCAGCAAAGCAGACATCAAAGTGCTGGAGGCAGAAAACAACAGGCCTTCTGCTGGCAAATAAGCAGGCTGGTCTGCATCTGGACCAGAGGGACAAGTCAGTTACAAGGCAGTTTCCTTTCTACACCTTGCAAGACCACAGCCTCTGTGGTGCTGTGCAGCTTAGAAAGCTGTGATGGGGCAGTGCATTGCCTGATGCTCTTAGAAAGATCACTGCAAGACTTACCTGAAGTAATGCTTTCCATAACATCTCCTTGGAATGGATCCAGAAAACAGCCCTCAGCCTGGAAGATAAATTTTGGTAGTCACAAAGGTTGAGGCAGCTGGCAACATGGAAAGCTGCTGACCCCTCTGCGCCCTGCCTTCAGGAGTGGATTTTCAAGCATTTCCCAAGAACTGTAGAAAGAACAATCGCTGCACATCAACAGTAGGGTGCAGAAACAAAATCAGTCCGGCATGGTGCAAATGGGTTTGTAGATTGTTTGGATGCTGTTTTGTTGAAGGCAAGGGCCTGGTTTTGTGGAAAGCTTATCTATGCTATTTACCAGGTAAATGGTATATTCAAGCTGCTACTTCTAGTTTGCTTTCAGAAACTGCCCTCCTCTGTCTCCAAATCTCAAGATTTCCAAGACAAGAGATGAAATAACTAGTGGTTAATATAAGGGTACCCCAAACATTGGCCTACATCTGCATGCAGCATTAACAGCTAGCCAAAACAAGAGAGGGTTTTGGTTTGGACAAGAAAGTCTCTTGCAGGTCCAGTGCTGAAAGAGGGGCTGGGCAGCTGGTGGAATGCATTTCTTTGTTGGAGAAGACTGGACCTAAATAGGAATTAAAACTCCAACTAAGTTCATGTAAAGCAAACACGGCAGGAGATGTATGCTCATGAGTCTACTACAGAATAGAATAGAATAGAATGGAATGGAATGGAATGGAATGAATGGAATGTGGAAGGGACTTGGAAGTCATCTAGTCCAACCCCCTGATCAGGCAGGAAACTCTATACCATTTCAGACAAATGGCTGTCCAGTCTTTTCTTTAAAACTTCCAGTGTTGGAGCATTTACAACTTCTGGAGGCAGGTTGTTCCACTGATTAATTGTTCTGTCAGGAAGTTTCTCCTTAGTTCTAGGTTGCTTCTCTCTTTGGTTAGTTTCCCTCTGCTGCTTCTTTTCCTGCCTTCAGGCGCTTTGGAGAATAGTTTGACTCCCTCTTCTTTGTGGCAACCCCTGAGATATTGGAACACTGCTATCATGTCCCCCCTCGTCCTTCTCTTCATTAAACTAGGCATACCCAATTCCAGCAACCATTCCTTATGTTTTAGCCTCCAGTCCCCTAATCATCTTTGTTGCTATTCTCTGTACTCTTTCTAGAGTCTCAATATCTTTTTTACATCGTGGCAATCAAAACTGGATGCAGTATTCCAAGTGTGGCCTTACCAAGCCATTGTAAAGTGGTATTTAACACTTCACATGATCTTGATTCCATCCCTCTGTTAATGTAGCCTAGCACTGTGTTGATTTTTGTGGCAGCTGCAGCACAGTGATGGCTCATATTTAAGTGATTGTCCACTAGGACTCCAAAGTCCCTCTCACAGTTGCTACTATTGAGCAAGGACCACCTATATTATACCTGTGCATTTGTTTTTTCTTGCCTTAATGTAGAACCTTACTGTTTTCACCATTGAATTTCATTTTGTTAGATAGCGCCCAATGTTCAAGTCTATCAAGATCCTTCTTAAGCCTATCTTCTGAAGTGTTGGCTATTCCTGCCTGCTTGGTGTCATCTGCAAATTTGATCAGTTCCCCATCTATCCCCTCATCCAAACCATTGATGAAGATGTTGAAGAGTACTGGGCCCAGAACAGAGCCCTGGGGCACCCCACTATACACTTCCCTCCATGTAGATGCAGTTCCAATGGGGACCATGCACTGAGTACAATCGGTCAGCCATACATAGAAGCATGTGCACTGAGAGCTTCTGTACTAAAGACAATTTCCTTGTGTACTGAATCACTCTTGGCCAAATCAAGTTCAGTTCAGTTCAAGCCCCTCTTACCTTTGAATTCTCTTCCAAAAAGCACGTTTCAAGATCTCTTTCTGTGATTATCAGTGGAGACAAGGAACGATAATGGGGCACATAACTTGGAAAAGAACAGGTGGATGTGTCCTCATTAGCATCTGGATCACATACAGAAAAATAATTCCTGGCCACAGGGCTTATTGCTACAGTGGCCTGGGAAAACAAGTCACCATTATGGTTTCCAGAGTCCACATCACTTTTAAGATTTTTCTTGTAATTCTCAATGGAAGTTTCCCTTTCTGATTGTGTCCACGGAATTTGTCCTTCAAAAGTTCTGGTTAAATGAGGACTTTCCTGAAAGAGTGGATTATTGAAAAATAAATATTCAACCTCCTCCTCCTCCTCCTTCTCACTTTCTTCCTCCTCCTGTCTCTCTAAATTCTCTTCTGGCTCCTCTCCACTATCGCTTTCCAGGAGTAAATGTTCATTGATGGTAGCTGTGTCCAGGGACATGACTGTCACCGGTATGTTTTTAGAATTCACACTGTGAGTCTGCGGATATTCTTTCTGCTTATCTAACTCCTCTTGAAGATCTAAGACACACATCTGAGCTTGTAGAATACCAGCCCAAAAAACAGATTGGGTAGCATCACTATTACATTTATCCTGAGTTTTCAAGTTGTTTATCAGTTCAAGAGGCTGTCCAAATCTCTCAGAGAAGTCCAAGCTTTCTGAAACAGGGTGGCCCAGTTCAGGGTGTAATACTTCAAAATTATTCTGCATTAACACTGGAATGGATTTTTCAGAGGGTGTTTCAGTTCTGCAGTGAACACCCTCCAATCTATCCTGTACAAGACACAAAGGAGGGGTAATAGCATTTTCAACCTGGCAAGTTTCAGAAAATGCAAGCAGATCCCAAGTCTGTTTCAAGCACTCTCCAGGGTCAGAGTTCACTTCCTTTGTTCTGTTTTCAGAGGGCATATCCATCAAGTCTGAGCTACTGGAGCATTCAGGGCATTCCATTCTAGCATCTACCATGAAAACTTGCACAGAAGTAACTAGGGTTCCAGTCTGATTTTCAATAGGCTAAGAAATTGGGCCTTTAAAAAGCAATCTCCATGGTTCTCTTGTTTGGCCTGCAAAAGAGAAAGAAATATATGTTCTGGTTAACACTTGCTCCAAATGAATAGTTTCACGATTTGCTTACTTTCTACAATGAGAAGCAATATCAAAATATTTTAAATATATAAATAATTAAACAGATCAATTACAAAAGGAACCAAAAGACGCCAAGTATAGGCTGCTGGAAAAACAGCCCCTCATGGCAGTATAAACTCCTGCAGATGCATCAAAGGAGTTGCTAGTCCATCAGCATTTTGCACATCAAGATTTAGGACAGTGGTTCTCAACCTGTGGGTCGGGACCCCATTTGGGGTCGAATGACCATTTCACGGGGGTCACCAAACAATGCAGTCCGCCATTTTTTCCCCTTTTCCTTAGCTGTGCTACTCCCTTTTATTCTATTGGCTTTTGAAAGCCAATAAAATAGACTCTTTTGAATAGAGTCTAATTCTATTAGCTTTCAAAAGCCAATAGGAATCGTACAGGCTGTCTCTGCCCTGCTGAGCCCGCCAAAAGTCTCATTCTGCAAATGGTGCTGCAAGTTGTCTGCAGCGAAGGTGAGCTGTCTGGAAGTTTCCACCCCTCCCTGCTGAGCAACTACTAAAAATGTAAGTAAAAGAGGGCCAGGGGTGGAAGGTGGGAGGCCGGCGGGCGCAGGGAGGGTTACTGGCGTGCGTGGGGCCCGGCGGGTGCCTTACCTCCCTTGGGCTGGGCCAGCTGGTGGCCCAGCCGGTGGTCGGCTTGCGCCATCTCTGCTGCTTGCCAGCTATGCCTCAGCCGGCGCAGGGGTCGGCACCACGCATGCGCGGCACTCCCGGGCAGGGAAAGTCCTCGACTTACGACCAGTTGGGTAGTCCTCGACTTATGACCGGTTGGGTAGTCCTCAACTTACGACCGGTTGGGGTCACGGCATTAAAAAGGTTGAGAACCACTGATTTAGGATATTATAACAAATATAATACAGATTGATATATATGAATCTATGAACTAAGAAAGGGAAAGGGAAAAAGAAGAAAAACAAGTGGCTATTAAAGAGCCAGGAAGTGTATTTTTTGAACTGTATTTTTCATGGCACTCTGGTCTTAATTCTACCCCCATCTCCCACCCCTCATCCACCTCTTATCAAACAAACTTTTAGTGGTGAAGGCTTTAGTCATCTTTAAATGATAGGGGGTGCAGAACTTAGTTAGGCTGTGTGGTTACTTCCACTACTTACCACCAACAGATACAATGTGGGACATATTGAAATTGTTGAAATCCAAAAGAGTTGCCTAAATAGCTAAACTAGGGAAAGCCAAACAAGAAAAAAACAGATTGTTCACTCTTCTATATATTCAAATTCAGCTGCTGTCTTTTTCAGCTACTGCAAAAATCAGTAGTAAAGCAAAATTGTTATGCACATTTATTTATCAATCCTAAAGATGGTTTTTCAGAAGGCAACTGGACTTTCTTGTTTTTATTTGAAGATGTTTCAATTCTCATCTAAGAAGCTTCTTCAGCTACGTCTTCAAAAAAAAAAAAAATAAGAAAGTCCAGTTGCCTCTTTGGGACAACTATGATGTGGATGACTGAGAATCTCCATAGATATTTATCGAATTTATATAATTGCCCATCTCACAAGAAGTGACCTTGCACCACAACAGACAAAGCAAGAGATGGAAAATAAACATTCTAAATATTCAGAATATGTCTTAAAACAGTGTTTCCCAAACTTGACAATTTTAAGGCATGTGGACTTCAACTCCCAGAATTGCTGGCTGTGGAATTCTGGGAGTTGAAGTCCTCATGCCTTAAAATTGTCAAGTTTGGGAAACACTGTCTTAAAATATAGTTAGCCACGTTATTTATTTATAATGTATTTATTTTATTTATTTACTTCCAACCTCTGCGTATCACTGGCTTCATTTGGACTCTCAGAATATAGCGGTTTTGCAAAAGAAGCCTGTAAAAATTTCCCTAATTGTAGGATAAATTTTAAACAATGGTACAGCAGCATCTTCCTCCTTTAGTTCTCTCAATTGCTGAGGGACAAAGAGGGGACACCTCCCCTCACAGACCAAGTTGAAAGAGTGCAACCCACCTAAGCTTTGGCTGGGGCCTCCTGAGACAAGCAGGCAGGGGACCTTTCCTCTATTCTCAGACAGAAACTCTGCCCAGCAGTGAAAGAGACGCAAAGAAAGGCTGCCCCACGTTCTGGATGACAATGTCACTGCAAACGGAATGACACACACCCTGGTTTGGTTGGAATCCATAGGAGCTGGTTGTTCCTCATCAGGCAGTGCTTACAAGAGAGATCACCAACCTCCAGCTCATCAGTGTGACCCACCAGGCCTGTGGGGCTAAGGAAAAAGCCCTTCATTATCACTATTAAACTGCTCCCTTGGCAGTTTTGCCAGTACACCTCTTCTCCCAGTAAGGATGGTACCGGGAACTCCCCAGCCATTGCCAATTTGACATCCACACACCTTCCCTGTGTTGAATCCCCCGAGGTCACCCAAACCTGCAACACAGAGAGAGACTTAATTTGGTCTCTGGGGAGGAGTGACCTCCAGTCTGGTTGTCATAGGGATTCCCTGCTGACCAAGAGAAACTACAGCTGCCTCAAAGCCAAGTTAAGGCCGTTCTTATAGCACAGTATAATGGAGGAGGGTCCAAAATCTATGCAAAATCTTGTGATGAAGTATCTCTACTACTCCAGCCTTGACAGCATCAGCTTTTCATCTACCGGTAGCTATTCTTACTTTTTGCAAGGAGTGAATGTTGAGGGTAATTACAAATTTTACAAAAGATTGATTTTTAATTAAGTGCTTCAGTGGATGAAATTATTATAGGGTAAACAGGTTCAAAAGAAAATCAGCTGGTTTTGAGCAACCTGGGGCAAAAACTCAATGGAAAGTGTGAGGAGTGATAGAACTAGGAAATTGTTCTTCCTGAGCTTGCATTCTACTCATTCTAACTGGGCAGGCACATCAGCTAATTTATTTTAGCACAGACTGCAGCAAATCTCCCAAATGGTTTTAACCCTTCCCTTAAAACAGGCCCGAGATTTGAATGGTCTCTAGTCTACCTTCTTCGGGAGAGGCAGGGAAGAAAGCTCCAAAGGGGAGACACCGCTTTGCCCCGTCCCCATCATTATGGCTTCAGAGAACAGCAGCCCTTTGGTGGTTGCCGGAGACCCGGGTTCGAGTCCTGCCTGGCGGGCTCTCCCTGGAGAAGCAGCCGGGAGAACGTTCGGAGCGCCGCCGCCTCCGGGAGGGAAGGCATGTCGAGAGCGGAAGGGTCGGCCCGGGGCTTGCGAAGGCCGCCCTTCGGGTCGATTTAGCTTCCCAAAACCCACTTATGCCCGCTCCTTTGGGCGGGCGACTTCCACGGGGAAGCCCGGGGATAGGGTGCCTTTCAAAAGAGCCGGTTCCGTCTCAGGGGCTGCGAAGTGATGGACCTGCTTCCTTCTCTCCTTAGGAGCCACGTCCAGCCTCGTCCTTCACTTTCCCCCAAGAAAGCGCGGATGGGCCCCCTTCCTCCCCACCGCCCGAGGGGCCCGCAGCCTCCCCGGCCGGGGCCGGAGCCCAGCCAGAGCCCAAAAGCGCTGCCCGGTCGGGATCGGAGCGCAGAGGCTGTGCCGGCCAGCCCGGCCCTCGGCGCCCTTGGGCGGCGCTGGCTCCGCAGGCTCCCGGGAAGCCGTTTCCACGAGACCGGCCCGGCGGAGGCGCGGCTCTTCCCTCCGGAGAGGTCGCCGGCCGCTTCCGCTGGGAGGGAGAGGGGCGGGCGGAGCCGCTCCGCCTCGGGAAAGCCCACCCGGGCGGCCCCGGTGCCCACTTACCACCGCGGGCCCCGCTTCGCCGCGACCGGCCAGCCGGCAGCATTTCCGGCCTCCGCGCCGCCCGAGCACAAGGCCCGCCTCGCCCAGGAAGGCGGCCCCGCAGCCGCGCTCCTCTGCCCCAAGCCCGACCGGGTCCCGCGACGCCTCCCGGGCCGGGGCCCCCGCCGGGAAGCCCACTCCCCGACCGGTGACTCCGGGGGACCCCGCGATCCCCGCCGGGGCCGGCGGCTGCCCCAGCAGAGCCGGCTCTCCTCCCCCGGCTCCCCCTGGCGCTGCGAAGGGGCCCCGGCTGAGGCGGCTCCGGGCGGGCCCTGGGGGGCCCGAGCGCGAAGGTCACGACTCTGGGAAGCGGGGCAGCCCCACCGATCGCTGCTGGCTCGGAATTTAGGGCTCAGTTCAGCGTTTCCCTTCCTGGTGCTCGCCCTGCCTCGGAACAGGCCCAACGTGGGGGAGCCTCTAGAGGACTGACCAGACCCTCCCCCCACAGCCCCAGGGGAACCGAGCTGAGTGCCAAACCCTAGAGGGGGGGTTAGGGTTTCCTGCTAAATGGCCTCCATTGGAGGTGCAAGGCGGAGGGGGGGGGGAATGGGGGCTCCCTGACTTGCATATTTGCTTTGCTGGGAGAGAGCGACCATTGCCCCCCCCCCCGTGTTAGGCAGCATTGAGACCCAACTTCATTGCTGGGCTAGGCACCCCTTTCATCTCATGGGGCCTCCTGCTTTCACGGGGCCTCCTGTCCTTGGCTTTCAGTTGTCTCCGCTCCAGAGTTGGTCCTCTGTGAGAAAGGACTGCAGAGGCATCTGGCTGGGCTTCCATAGCCCCAACCCTTCCAGAGGCTTCTTTTGGGGCTCCTCCTTACTGTACTTACCTCCTGTCGGACCTTTCACCCTTTCATCTTGCCGAGACCTGAGCAAGGATCCCTAGGGAATCAGTGCTGCTTCTTCCCAAGAGCCCCTGGTGAGAATGGGACAGATCCTGCTTGATCTTTTGCTGTTTTTACATGATTTTGCAAGACAACCTGACTCAAGGCCACTAACTCTGTGACACCGACCTCTCTTTGAAAAGCATTCAAACGAAAACAAAGGAATAGAGAAGGTTCTCTGTCTTGCAAAATGCTGTGCAAATGAAGAAGTGTTGCTTTGCCTCCTGCACATGCTGCAGTGCTGCTGTCTGAACCGGAACTTACAGCTCTTGGGTGAGCAGTGCAAACCGCACAGGCGGTAGCTACTGCCTCTCAGAGCTACTTTTAAACGAAGGCCACGAAGCAGAGAGAAGCAGGAAGCCCAAGCAGAACTAGTCTCAGACTGCAAGGCAAGGGAAGTAGGATGAGGACCAGGTCCCCTCATTTACAGCAATTTCCATCCACTAATACAAGAAAAACTAGGTGAATGCATATTTGGAAGAGCTGCTTCAAAATACATTAAATCATAGCACCTCCTTAAAGTGTGAAGCTAAAAGAAAAGCAGTTTTAAAGTGAGCTGCTGCACTCATTGCTGCATGTTTTAAAGTATCACTTCCAAATCTTTTCCAAAGTGCATCTAACCTTTACTGAGCAAGCACTGAACAAAGTTTAAAATGATATAGTAAAAATTGACGTAAAAATGATTTTTCCGTTCCTCTCTGAACAGAACAGAACAAAACAGAACAACAGAGTTGGAAGGTTTTCTTGTCCAAACCTTACTCAAGCAGGAGACCTATATCATTTCAAATAAATGGCTGCCCAGTCTCTTAAAAGTCTCCAGTAATGGAGCACCTGTAACTCCTAAAGGCAAGCCATTCCACTGCCAGTTTGATGTCATCTGCAAATGTGATGAGTTCCCCTTCTAATCCCTCATCTAAATTGTTTATGAAGATATTGAAGAGTGCTGGGCCTATGTCAGAACCTTGGGGTACCCCACAATGTATTTCCCTATGTAGATGTAGTTCCATTAATGACTACTTGGATTTTGGTAAGGTAGTGCTGAGTGCTGTTTGCCAGCCAGTTATAAATCCATCTGGTGATGCTGTCTATCCCACATTTTTCTAGCTTACCAAGAACTAGGTTGTGGTCGACTTTGTCAAATACCTTACCAAAATCCATGTATATATACTATGTCCACAAGATTTCGCTGGTCCACTAATTTAGTCACTTTGTCAAAGAATGAAATAAGATTTGTTTGGCATGATCTGTTTCATGTTGGCTTCTGGTTATAACTTTGCTCGCTTCTACGTGTTCGCAGATCTGTTGCTTATTATATTTTCCAGGATCTTCCCAGGTATTGATGTCAGTAGTCTGTAGTTTCCTGAATTTGTTTATTTTCCCTTTTTTGAAGTTGGGAACCATATCAGTGCTTTTTCTTGCTCTCCAGGCTCTTTGAAAGATAGGATTCAGTGGTTCTGAGATCATGTCTGCCAGCTCCTTCAAAACTCTGGGATGTAATCCATCTGGTCCTGGTGATTTGAACTCATTTAGAGTGGACAAATGTTCTCTTACCATTTTTTGCCTATTTTAATTTGTATTCCTAGTCTGTGTTTTACAGTTCTTGTTGGGCTATTTTTTCTTTTTGTGTGTAGACAGATGCAAAAAAAGAATTAAGCTGTTCTGCTTTCTCCCTACTGTCCGTCACTTCCTTGCCTTCTTCTCCCATTAGTGGACCAATTGTTTCCTTGATTTTATTCTTGTTTTTATATAATGAAAGAAACATTTTTAAATTATTTTTGACATTTGTTGCAAGTCTTAGTTCATTCTGAGCCTTAGTTTTCCCGACTTCATCTTTGGGCTATCTGCTGGTATTCTGCCTTAGTTACATGCCCCTCTTTTCATTTTTTTTATACTTATCCTTTTGGTGTATTCTTGTATTTCTTATTTTTCTTTTTCAGTGGTGTTGTGTTGGACTGGGCATATTTTTTAGTTTTCTAAGCTTCTTGAGTAGTTTTCTCCTTTAAGGTTTTCAACCATGGAATCCTTCTCAAGCTCTCTTGACTTCGTTGAAATCAGCTCTTTTAAAGTCTAAGACACTGGCTTGATTATATTCTGTTGCTTGTGTCTACAATATATTGAATTCCAATATGACAGGGTCACTCTTTTCTAAAGTTTCCACAACTTCAAACCCCTCTATCATTTCTTCTCTATTAGTAAGAATTTGTTTGCCTCTCCTCCCCTCCCCTCCCCTCTCCTCTCTTTGTGCCCCATTCAGGCTCCTATATTCTCCAGACACTGGACAGGACATCTATGGCTTCAATCAGCAGGCATGAAATGTAGATACTGCACATATTGATAGAACCTCATTCCAAACTATCAGATCAGCTCACCTAAGGCTTCATGTAGATATAAAATAGGAGAAGAGAGGCAACTAAACTCTGAGGCACCCCACATAATAGGGACCATGGCTGGATCTCTTCCCTTTCACCAACACCAACTGACATTGGTCCAGAGGAAAGAGGAAAACCAGGACAGCACCGTGCTGCCTATCCCCAATTCCTGGAACCAAATCAGAAGGATAGCGTGAGCAGTGGTATCAAACACCACTGAGAGGTCAAGAAGAGTAAGGATTGATACACTGTCCCCATCTGCTTCTGCCAGAAGTCATCTAAAAACGTCATCCATGCCATTTTGGTTCCAAACCCCAGGCTGAACCCTGACTGGGAGGAGTCTAGATTATCCACTTCATGCAAGGTCCTCTGCAACTGCCAGGCTACCAATCACTCTATGTCATTCCCTAAAAAGAGGTGGTTGGAGACTGGGTGAAAATTGTCTGGATCAGCTGGGATGACCAAAGGCCTCTTAAGACTAGGGCTTCTGCTCTAGAAGAAGAAATGGTTGTCTAGATCAGGAGTTCCCAACCCCTGGTCCATGGACCAGTATTGGTCCACAGCCTGTTGGGAACTGGTCCAAGCAAGTGGTGTGTGAGTGTGTGAAGCTTCATTTGCGCATGTGTGGGATTAAGTTGCATGTGAGAAACCATCCCCTCCCCTGCAGTTGCCACCGTTGCCATTCTGTGGAGCCAGAAAAGTTGGGGACCGCTGGGTTAGTTTGTTTTCATTCAGACTATAGATTGGATAATTTTAAATTATGACAAAGGAAAAAAAACAGTGTGGAATATTCTGAGATTACTGTAGTGTTACCTATTGTATTTTAAAGGCAGGAAAGCACAGTTGATATAAAACATATTTATTTCAAATACTGTTTTCTCCTTTTGAAGGAACAACACTTGCAACCAATGTTTACCAATGTCCAAAGAGAGGCATTTGAGGATACAATTAATTTTGTCACTTAGCTCTGAAAGAATGCAGTCAAAAATATCAGAATGTTAGTGTGGAGCTGATTAGAAAGAAAAAGATATCTATATGAGTTGGGAAATTAATCAGAAAAAATCAGGATGTACAGGTTTATTGGAAATATGTTTATTGTCTTGCTAAAAACGTTGCAAATACTCAAACAAGGAAGATGCTAGGCAGTGGCTGAAAATGTCCCTTCAAAGCATTAGAGGAAGTCACAAGCATCACAGGTCAAGAAAACGGAACAGATCCGATGGTCCAGCTGCATCATGCCACAGTTCTCTATTTTTTATGGACAAAGCAGAAATCAAGAGGAATATGCTGGTTGGGCTTTCTGAAAAACTGCATGTATGAGGAAGGAGGACTGCATGGAAAAACTACAAGCCTTGTTTGGAAGCACCTGATAAGATGCCAAAAATAATCCCAAAGCCTGAATTATGTAGAGCAATGGAAATATCAATGCATTTGGGCAATCCAACTGGCTTGATCTTTTGCTCCCCAGGTTTAATTACACCTACATACCACTGGCACATAGCTAGAGGTTTACCTAGAAAATTGTCATTTTCTGAATGTGCTTAGCCACTGTCAAGAGACTGGAGGGAGGGAAGGAGGGAGGAAGAGAGCTGCAATGGCATAATTAGGATTGGTGCCACTGTGAACACCTTCAATTCTTTTCCTCCCCCCCCCCCTTCTATCCACCTATCTACATCTATAACTTACATGGCACTTCAATTCCAGAGAACCATAGTATTAGAAAACTAAATCTTGAAATCAGTTAATATATCAATCTGAGCTGCTACTTTCTGGGGTAGCGTGATCAATAAGCCAAGGAATTCCTGTAAATTGCTGACTAGAGAGAGGCCACTTAGGAATAATCCAGTTCCTTCCCTCCCCAGAAAGCACAATCCACCACAATCAAAAGACTAAGGAACACCAACACCAGCAGGACAGATGGGAGTGAAGCTGTGCAGCAGTTGCAATATCTGTTAAACGCCCTCACAAATAGTACTCTTGGTCACCTGCAGAGTGTCCATCTCTACCTTAGGTCTGTGCTGATGCAGTCTCTGAAGCTCACTCATCACTGTTCACCTATCCAAGTTTTGGTGAGGCATGCCAGGTCTCTCATCCCAGTTCGAATCATGGATGAAGACAGATTTATCATAGGCAGAGCTGGCATTTAAGGGTATCAGCAGAGATGGAGGTACAGTTGGATCTTAAGGTGAGGAGTTAGAAAAGGATTCCTTTGCTGCCTCCCTCTGCTGTCGCAGCCTTAACTCTCTCCTCTTCCTCCCCGCCACCTCCCCTCCCAATTTGACAGGATGAGGATATGTCACAGGCTGCAGCAGACTTCTGAATAACATGTTGGGGATTCACACTCCAAAACTATGTGGAGCTAAGACAAAATGAGTTTTTTATTTAATGCATATTTTGAAATAATTAGAATTAAATGTTGTCAATACAGTTACTTTAAATGTATTTAAATTTCTGGCATATTTTGCACTCGTAGCTTTCGAGTTCTGCAGGTAACTTTGTGGCTGCTAGCTGCAAAACCTGCATTTCTGAATCCAGAAAGTGAGCTGTGAATATCAGCCAACTCTAGAAACGCTGCATCTCTTCTGAAAAGTGACCCCCCCCTGCAAGAAATGCTTAGAGAAAGTAGTAGCTGTTAGACTCTGGACTTCAGGAGTGGGCTTTGTCCCGTGAAGGGAGGTGGGGGGGCCAGCTAAGATTCAGGCTGAAAATAAAAGTCCACCAGATGAGAAGATCCTGGATTCTTTATCAGCCCAAGGGGTTCATTGGCTTTGGAAGACGTGCAGAGGAACCAGCCTGGGTTGGCAGCTGATTCAAAACGCCATATTCCATCTTTATTAGCCACAAAGAAGGTGAAGCGTGTGGAGGCTTCTTTATCTTTGCACAGGTCTGTGATGTTGATGCTCTGAGGAGGAGAAGAAAGAGGTTTTCAGGGAAGGGAACAGCCTCAAGGAGAGGGATGTTCTTGGAGGCCTCTGTGTTGAGAAGGGGCCAAGAAGCTCTCGTTCTGCAGCCTCTTCAGGCTGAAAAGGTGCCCTGATAGCAAAAACAAGGGAAGCTACTGATGGTGAAGGAACCCTAAGCTACCGTATGTGTTTACCCGAGGAGAGCATAACATGGATTCTTCTTAATGAAAATGATTATAGAGTAACCAGGATCATAGTTGTGGAGCAGAGAAAGCATAACCATTTCCACACAATTTCCCATTTGCTTACTTGAAGCTCAGTCCTTGAGAAACTACTGAAGTCCTCAGGAGAAACTTGACTAGAAACTGAAGAAAAAAACAATGATGTGTGCTTTTATGAATGTGTGGAAATACTGCTTTTTATATATAATACTTAATTACTTAGGTTGTACTAATACCATTTAATTTATGGAGGAACTTACATAATAGTGATTGACCTGGTATTTAAATGAGTGGCATGATTAGTTCTGTGCATAAAATTTATGAGAGCAGCTTTCTAATTTTAGTTTTCTGAAAAACAATAACACTACTGTTTTCCCAAAAATGAAATAATTCTATCAGCACTATTTGCAAATTGACAATTATCGTGTCTCTGGAGATTCCAGTTACGAATGAAGGATCTAAAAAGTGGCACAGCGGGACAACTTTGCCCCACCAGCGGGAACTGCTGAGCAGAAGCTGCAGTGAGTCAAAATGAGTGAAGTCAGGCTTAAACTCCTGTAAAGGCAGGGCAGGGAGACTGTGCTTAAGAAATAGAGGCCTTTAAGGTGGGAAATGCTGCCGGGGAGTCTGGGTCCTCTCAAGTCTTAGCCCAAGGCACCCCAACCTTTCTGACTTTGCAGACTGGCGGGAGGGGAAAGAGGAAATGATTCTGTGCACACATGCAGTGTGTGGTGGGCACTCGCACCTGAAGCTCCATTTCTGTGAGTGATGGGCGCACAAATGGAGCTTCTTGCATGTGCAAGTGCCTGTTGCTTGCACAAATGCAGCTGTGCATGCTCGCCTGCCACTTGCGCGGCCTATTTCCAAACAGGCCAAAGCCCAGTGCAGGACACCGTCTGGGGACCCCTGCTTTGGGTCCACAACTTCCTCCCTTCCACCAGATCCCTCCATTGAGTCTCCTCTGTCTGCATGAATGTATGAGAGAAATGAACAAAATAAAAAAAGAGTAAGTGTCTCTATCTCCCCCAGTCCATCTTGAAGAAAATTGGTGCCATCTGTTTCATTCTGAAAGTAGCTGCAAATTAGGAGACAAAAAGGAGGAGAAGCTCTTTCCCCCCACAAAAAATGGGTACAATCTGGCCTGCACTGCTCCTTTACCATGGGTCATGCATGGGTCATGCAATGCTGGGATCTACAACCTGGTTACCTGGGTGTAATCTTTGCTAGGAGACGCTTCTATACAAACACATAACTTGTCTAAACGAAGTTGCAATGTCTCTCCCTCCCCTCCTCCCATGTGTGCACACACACACAGAGCTCTGTTGTCCAATCACTGTATGTAGGAAGTACCAAGTAGTAGTTCAGATAAAGGTGGTCTCAGGCATGGTCAGACCATTACTTCTCACCTCCAACTGCAGCTCAGGCGGGGACCCAGGAGAGCAGGCCAGGCAGCTCTTCCCACCCTGAATGCTCAGAATGACGGGGAAGTTCTCTTGGCCAAAGGCCCGGTTATGGACCCAAAAAATCTTTTCTGGAAGGGAGAAGAAGAAGGCAGGAAAGATTGTGAACAGCCTGAAAAAAATCCAGCTTTGTGTATTTCCTTCATCCACTGAGCATTTTATTTTACGGATTGATTTACTTAAGTGCTTCATTCCTCCAGACAGAAATTTCCTTCCCTAATCAGTTTATTTTTGGAACAATCTTGCAAGATAAATTAGGTTTGGGAGCCATTCAGGAATCCCCGTGGTTGAACCTCTCTGTTCCCATGAAAAATATCACAAATATCTCAGTCCCAATCCCATGAAAAAACTCTGCTCATGTACTCCAGAGCAATAGAAGACGACTGGGGAGGAATTGAGAAACTGATATGAAATATCTGAATTCCATTTTTCATTCAGTGCTATTTATTTGAAAGGAATAGAAGCCATCCTGAAAAGAGGTTGCCCACAGCCACTGCAAAATGAGATGGGGTGAAGGCTGCCCCCCCCAACTGCTCCCGGACTGCAGCACTTTCCCCCCCAGGATTGCGTAAGAGTCTTGCAATGTACTTTGATGTGATTAAAGTACTGAAACAGAGTGTTGCCAAACCGTGCATGTACTGTAGTTCCATGCATACCTAACTAAATCAAGATAGAGTTATTTCTTTCTCACCCTTTCTATTTTCCCAAGATTCCTATACTTTTTTCTACAATGGATGGCATTTCCTTCCCCTTCTCTGAGTCAAACCAACATTTTTTCACAAATGGGGAGGAAATCTGGAGGAACTTTTTTATAAATAAGATTTAGAATAAAGAATTCACATTAGGGGTCTAGCCACAGCGAAGTTAGGGAAATGGGGTGAGAGCTGCATTGTATGTTGGGGGTGAAAAAGAAATGAGGCACGGCAAGGAAGCCAGCTGCCAGAAAACTAGCATCTCAGCCATTGAAAACTATAACTTCTACCATCGGTTCTTCTCTTGATTTTATTTTACATTCTCTTTGAAAAAAATTCTAGCATCTCACGATAAATTAGCTATTTGTGTTTGTATATTTGAATCAAGCAGACGCACTGGGAATGGAATGGAGTGGAATGGAATGGAATAGAATAGAATAGAATAGAATAGAATAGAATAGAATAGAATAGAATAGAATAGAATAGAATCTGGAAGGAGTCTTGGAGGCCTTCTAGTCCAGCCCCCTGCTCAAGCAGGAGAACCTATATCGTCTCAGACTGGTGGACGTCCAGTCTCTTCTTGAAAATCTCCAGTGATGGAGTGCCCACGATTTCTGCAGGCAAGCTGTTCCACTGGTTGATTGTCCTCACTGTCAGGAAACTTCTCCTTAGTTCCAGGTTGCTTCTCTCTTTGATCAGTTTCTAACCATTGTTCCTCGTCTTTCCCTCTGGTGCTTTGGTGAACAACATGACCCCCTCTGCCTTGTGGCAGCCCCTCAGATACTGGAACACTGCTATCATGTCTCCCCTATTTCTTCTTTTCCTTAGACTAGCCAGACCCAAAAGAAAAAGAGCAAACTACGAATGTGTGCATAATTGTGCAAACCACCCCACCCCACCATAAGAAATCTCTAAGTTACTAGGGAACTGCTCCAGCCTCTTAAAGGGTTGAGCCGAGGGTGGTTTTAGGAGAAAAGCCTCCAAAGAATCTAAGGTGCAGAGGTGATTTCTTATCCCTCCTCTATGCAGTTTAAGGAAAAACTCACCTTCCAGTGCAGAGTTGGGGGCTTGCAAGTATCCAGCTATTAATTCATTGTTCTGAAGGTAGAGGGATTTCTGGTTTACATCCCAGAGTCTGAAATGTCAAGATTTGTGTTTTAAAAGAAAAACCCTACTTTTTTCTCTCTTCGGCCATAAATCTGTACATTGGCTCTTGTGGGAAAAATAGGAGGAGGAAAGTGTACCAAGTATATTTGCTATCTTGAATCATTTATAAAAATAACAAAGGTGGGATAAAAATAAATAAAAAACATTATACAACATGTAGGCCCAAATGCTTCTTGTTGATTAAGAGCTGTCTGATTTTTACAGTATGAGCTGCTGTTCATCCACTCTCAGCTCCTGCCTTTGCCTATTGGCTCAAATCTCCTTTGGGCAGGAAAACCAAAGCAAAGTCCTCATATTCATAATGGGGAAAAAGCCATACTGAACTCTATCTTTATATGCCATTTGTGGATTTGGGTAGCTTAAAAAACCTAAAATCAATACAATTCTAAACTCTTAAATAAACACCATAAAAACACTGGTCCAGAAAGCAGACCTATGCCTTAAGTCCCTTCTCTAAAGCTTCCCTTCGAGTGGCAAATCCTTTTATAACACAGGCCTCATCATGGAGAAAACGGTGCTACCAATTGATACTATAGTAAATGTATTCATAGTGGGACCTACAATTTGAGTCTCACAAACAATCTCAAAATGGTGGGGCAGAATATTCTGGAAATGCCATGACAGCGTAGAGGAGGAACATCAGTTCATTTCTCCTTCTAAAGGAAGTGAGATTTTTGGCCAGAAGAAAGTTGTTTCCTCCCATTCAGAGATTCATTTCTTTAGGTCGGAGCCCGCCTTTTTCTCAAGAGGACGGGGGACCCCGGTTTTCAGTGAAATGAAGAAACACTTGCTTAGTGGGACTCAGTCCCCTTCTCTGTGGGGCTTCAGGTCCCTTCCTGGAGGAGGGAGAACGGGGAGAGGCCTCTCTGAGGCTGGTGGGCTCTAAGATGTGGAAGGCTCTCCGGGGCCTCCCTCTTTGCCCCTGGCCCAAGCGGCTCCCCCAGGAGCACAGGACACTTACCGTGACTTGAAGATGGCTCCCTGAGCCCAGGCCTCCTTCCCAGCTGCACACAGAACAGAAAGCAGGAAAAGGACAGTTTTATTTGTTGAAAACCAGCCAGACTCCATTGTGTCCAACAAATTGATCATCTCTGCTGGATCAGCCCAGCTGACTTTTTTTTATACAGTCCATGACAACCATATAACTGGAATGTACGTTATTGCCAGACGTGGCAGTTCTGTGACAAAACCTGCTTAATTTCCAACAGCTTTCGTCCATGTTGCAATTCATGTTGCAACTTTGGGTGCTGAAATTAAACTTCCCCAAAGTAACAGAATGGGTTCCCATTGCTATACACAAAGGGGAACTGAAACCACAGCACATAAGTGAAAGTATAGATTCAACTTGAAGTTGTATTCATAACAAAGAATATAGATATTAAAAAAACTGTATTCAAAATAAATTAAGATGGGAGGTGCAGCCAGGAACTCTTATTACCAAATAATACAGAGTTCTCAAATAGACTCTCCTTTAAAAAGTCATTAACTTTTCTTTGCATCCTATTACAAAGACTTTCCATTTCCAAAAAGTAAATAAGTGTTATCAGAACATCTTGTCTGACTGCATGGCCTATACAAGCCAAGAATGATCACCTTCCAAGGGCACTACCATACCTGGCTGAGCCAACTGCTCCTCTCCTTGTGAGTTGCCCATGGCTTCCCCTTATTTCAGCTTCAACTGGAACCTCTGAAGGGTTTCACCCACCAAGCTATGGAACAGCCGGAAGTATCTGAAAAGGCGTGACCAAATCTCCATGATTTGGGTTTTAAAATGTAGATCTTGACTGCTCTTTTATAAGGATGGCTCTCTTAAAATTTGATGCAAATTTTAAATATATAATTATAATAGATTGTTCTTATTCCATTGGCTATTTTTGTTGAATATCAGCTTTTGATTCAATTCCAGTAACAGGATTACTTTATATGTAGTGATTTAATGTTGTTTTGAAAATTCTTGTTCAATTTTACAATAAATCTTTTCTTCTAGTTCTTTTTTCATTTGTTCTTCATGGTTGTTTTATTAAGTATCTATTAAAATTAAATTAAAAAATTTACGAGTGTAGTCTAGTCTGAGAATATTCTTATGTCATGGTTCCGATAGATGAAACTCATCAAAAGAACTTCAAGGCAAGAATTCTTCCTTAAAGAACATTTTATTCAGGAAACAAAGTATTGGCATTACATAGTTGAACCCATAACTAATTTCCTTTCCCCCCATACAAAGTAACAAATTGCAATTCCCACCCCCAGCAAGCAGTCATAAATCACATTCTCCAATTAGCCTGAAACGCTGGCTTTCTCCCTAGCTCCTCAGCCTACCAAAACGTTATCAATTCGTCTTTGGGTTCCCACAAAGCAGCATTTATTATTATGGCTAGCTGAGCTCAGCATTCATCCCAACCCGCTCTTCTGTACCTAATCTCTAAATAGAAGAAAAAGCATGTTAAAAGCAAAAAGAGAAAATGGCTGCGATTTTCATCAGTTGTCAGAGCAGGAACATTCAATGTTTACAGCGTTGACATCTGGCCTCCCTTTACAAAAAGGATAAACCCTACAATTCAAACAAAATCATAGGTTAGGGGGTTGCCTTTCGGTTTATTTGGGTGTTTATCATAGAATTTATTAATGAGCCTGTCAGCTTTTACATCACTAGATTTTACCCAAGCGGCTTTGGATAATGGATATCCTTTCCACTGCACTAAGTACTGTAACTTTCCCTTGAAAAGTCTAGAACAGTGGTTCTCAACCTGTGGGTCGGGACCCCATTTGGGGTCGAACGACCATTTCACGGGGGTCGCCAAACAACACAGTCCGCCATTTTTCCCCCCTTTTCCTTAGCTGTGCTACTCCCTTTTATTCTATTGGCTTTTGAAAGCCAAGAATAGACTCTCTTTGAGTCTAATTCTATTGGCTTTCAAAAGCCAATAGGAATTGTCCAGGCTGTCTCTGCCCTGCTGAGCCCGCCAAAAGTCCCATTCTGCAAACAGTGCTGCACCAGTTGAGTAGTCCTCGACTTACGACCGGTTGAGTAGTCCTCGACTTATGACCGGTTGGGGGTCGCGGCATTAAAAAGGTTGAGAACCACTGGTCTAGAATCAAGAATATGCTTCACTTCATAATGGGTCTATCCAGCTACCACCAGAAGGCCAAATGCCTTCTTAGGGGGAGGTCGTAAGGTAGAACCCCCAAAGGGTTTCAGTAGGCTACAATGGAACACGGGGTGGACTTTCCCTAAGAGTCTGGGAAGCTTTAACTCCACCATAACTGGGTTTATGATTCTTACGATGGGGAAGGGACCCAGATACTTTGGCCCCAACTAGGCAACTTGAGTTGTAGATATTTTGTGGATAAGTAAACTTTCCCCCCAACCTGGAACGACCTTTTATCCTGTTGTTTTTTATATCTCTTATATGTTTTATATGTCTCAGAAGCCTTTTTCAGAGCGATTTTCATTTTGTTCCAAACAAAGCATCTGAGGGCAGGACAAGAAGGAACAAACATAGCTCCAATCTAAAACTAAGGAGAAATTTCCTGGCAGTGAGAACAATTAATCAGGGTTCAGCTCGCCTTCAGAAGTCGTGGTGCTCCATCCCTGGAGGCTTTTAAGAAGAGACTGGACAGCGCCCTGTGTGAAATGGAACAGGGTCTCCTGCTCGAGTAGGGGGCTGGTTTGGAGACCTCCAAGGTCCCTTCCAACTCTTGTCATTCTGTAGTCTGACTAGATGTTCAACTCCAGAGCAACTCAGTGCCGGGGTTTCCAGGGAGGCGTCGCCATCGCTCGCCCTCCGCCTCCACCGAAAAAGCCGAGCAGGGGCAACGGCTCCCTTCGCCCGAGGCCAGGCAGACTGCGGAGGGAGCCACGTGACGGGCGGCGCATGCGCGGGCGGGTGGCCATGGCGGCCGGGCGGTTCGTGGCGCTGCTGGGCGCGCTGCTCTTGGCCGGCCGCGCCGCGCGGGCGCTCTACTTCCACATCGGGGAGACGGAGAAGCGCTGCTTCATCGAGGAGATCCCGGACGAGACCATGGTCATCGGTGAGGGGGTCTGGAGGGGGGGCGAGGGGGCGGCCGCGCCCTCCCGCCAGCTGACCGCCTCCTCCCCTCCTCTTCCCCCCTCCCAGGCAACTACAGGACGCAGCTGTGGGACAAGCAGGCCGAGGCCTTCCTGCCCTCCACGCCGGGGCTGGGCATGTTCGTGGAGGTCCGGGACCCGGACGCCAAGGTGAGGCGGCCCCTGCCGAGGGGGGGGGCTGGGGGGAGGGAGAGCTGGCCCCGCGGCGCTGACCCGCTCCGCCCCGCAGGTGATCCTCTCGCGGCAGTACGGCTCGGAGGGCCGCTTCACCTTCACCTCGCACACGCCCGGCGAGCATCAGATCTGCCTGCACTCCAATTCCACCCGCCTGGCGCTCTTCGCCGGGGGGAAGCTGGTAAGCTGGACGGCGGGGTAGAGCGTGGGAGCCACACAAACTCCCCGCGGGAGGCCCGCGCCCCTCTCCAGCCCTGTCCCAACGCGCTGTGTCTCTGGTGCAGCGGGTGCACTTGGACATCCAGGTGGGAGAGCACGCCAATAACTACCCGGAGATCGCGGCCAAGGACAAGCTGACCGAGCTGCAGTTGCGAGCCAGGCAGCTGCTGGACCAGGTGGAGCAGATCCAGAAGGAGCAGAACTACCAAAGGGTGAGCCTGCCAGCCCCCCCCCCCACACGCTTGCTCTCTGCCAGGGGGTGAGCCAAGGGGGGGGGGGATTTCCTGCTTTGGTGGACAGGTGCGTTGCCAGTCACGCAGCCCCTAATTTCCCTCCAAGATAAAGAGTGGCCAAACTGACATTAGACATCCTGTGGATGGCATTAGAAAAATGTTTTGACGCCAGAACAGCTAAGGCTGCCAAGCTTGTGTCACTTTTGGACGCAACAAGAAAGATGTCATGACGTGATTACCCCACGGAAGTTGGAAAGGTCCTTAGAAGTTGTGTTGGTCTTGAGCCAGAAGAAACTGGTTGCTGTGTAGTGTTTTAAATTATTATTGATGGAGAGGCATGAAAAAGCCCACAGTATTTTACTATGGGTAAACTGGCTGGCTTTCTCTCTGCATGGAACAAGGTAGGCATAGTGGTGCAAGATGCTTTGAATGCAAAACTGGAAAAGTTCTGCATCTCAATTAGTCCTTGGTCAGGTGGAGGGCAACAGTGAATGAAGTGTGACAGGAGGAGTTGGGTCAGGCGTGTTCTGATGCTGACCACTGTGTTCCCTTTGCAGTTCCGAGAGGAGAGGTTCCGCATGACCAGCGAGAGCACCAACCAGCGGGTGCTGTGGTGGTCCATTGCACAGACAGTCATCCTTATCCTTACAGGGATTTGGCAAATGAGGCACCTCAAGAGTTTTTTTGAAGCCAAAAAACTGGTTTAATGTCTTCAGCATCACATAGGTCATTATTCACCCATGCCCTGTTGTTTTCCATTGAAGAAATCTTGATTTTAATTTAAGTACTAAACTGAGAAACACAGCAGACAATGCCCCTGCCCAATTATATAAATCCACAAAAACATCTCAAGCGTAACCATATTTTTGTGCTTTGAAGCATGTGAAGCTAGCGGTGAGTAACGATAGCTTGCCTCGATTGTCAAGCTTTCCTGGAACATTCCAAGAAGCTGCTTTACAGAAGACTGAAAGGATTCCCTCCATTACATTTGTAATAGTTTGCCTAAAAGCTTCTCTTCTAAAGGCCCCTGTAACTCTAGAACTATTCAATAGAATGCAATCAGAGGAAAAATAGATTTACATCAGAACTGTGTAGCACACCTTCCTTGTTCAAATATTGTTCAAAATATTGTTTAACATGTCAGTGGTTGTCAGGCATCCAGGGGATCGAAGGATTTCTTGCAGTGTTTTCAATTCTTTGTAGTTCTGTGTTTTCTAAGCACAGAATTGTCTTGGCTGGAGAGTCAATGCAAATGAGGGAGTAGTAGAAGTTGCCTCCAGGTTTGTTGTAAATGTTAAGTAAAGAAGCCCCTGAAATTTGTAAATAGTTTGACTTAGAGTTACTATCAGATGGAGATATTTCTTGAAGAGCATAGAAAGGGATTTCTCCATCAGGTGGTGTTATCTCTTTTTACCAGCCTTTCTGTAATTTGGAAATAGAACCTGTAAATAATTCAGCTACAAACAACACTGTTGCAGTTTGGCAGCAGAATTGGACTCTGAAGTAGTGGGACTGAAAATGGGCATTTTTCCCTTCTCTGTTTGCATGGGC